GATGGGTGCCCTGATGACTCGGCAGCTTGCTGTGAAACCTTTGCTCAGTTCTTCGCAGACAAAGTCGCTTTGATCCGCTCTGGTCTGGATACCATATTAATGGCAGTCTCTGAGGATGTAACACGAACATCTGCTTGTCCAGTTTTGATGGATTCATTTCAATTGGTGAAACCCGAGGATGTGGACAAGGTGCTTGGAGGAAGGAGGGCTACCACATGCATCCTAGACCCCTGCCCATCCTGGCTTCTGAAGGAGGCCAGAGGGGGATTGGCCGAGTGGGTGAAGGTGGTGGTTAATGCCTCCCTTCGGGAAGGCAAAATTCCAGCCAGCTTAAAACAAGCTGTAATAAAACCGCTGTTGAAAAAACCATCACTGGACCCCACTCAATTCGTCAACTATCGGCCTGTTTCCAATCTCCCCTTTTTGGGCAAAGTCCTGGAACGTGTGGTGGCCTCACAACTCCAGGCATTCTTGGTAGACACGGATTATCTGGATCCGGCACAGTCTGGCTTTAGGCCGGGACATGGTACCAAGACAGCCTTGGTCGCCTTAGTGGATGATCTGCGCCGGGAGCTCGACAGGGGGAGTGTGTCCCTGTTGGTGCTGCTGGACCTCTCAGCGGCCTTCGATACCGTCGACCACGGTATCCTTCTGGGACGCCTCGCGGGGATGGGTCTTGGAAGTACTGTTTTACAGTGGCTCCGCTCATTCCTTGAGGGTCGGTCTCAGAAGGTGTTACTGGGAAACTCCTGTTCAACCCCACAACCTTTGTCTTGTGGGGTTCCTCAGGGTTCAATACTGTCTCCCATGTTGTTTAACATCTACATGAAGCCGCTGGAGAGATCATCCGGAGTTTCGGAGTGCGATGTCATCTGTACGCAGATGATGTCCAACTCTGTCACTCCTTTCCACCTGCTACTAAGGAGGCTGTCGAGGTCCTGAACCGGTGCTTGGCCGCTGTGACGGTCTGGATGAGGGCGAACAAATTGAAATTGAATCCAGACAAGACAGAGGTACTCCTGGTTAGTTGTAAGGCCGAACAGGGTATAGGGTTACAGCCTGTGTTGGATGGGGTCGCACTCCCCCTGAAGACGCAGGTTCGCAGTTTGGGTGTGATCCTGGACTCATCGCTGAGCCTGGAACCTCAGGTTTCGGCGGTGACCAGGGGAGCATTTGCACAGTTAAAACTTGTGCGCCAACTGCGCCCGTACCTTGGGAAGTCTGACTTGGCCACGGTAGTCCACGCTCTGGTTACATCCCATCTAGACTACTGCAACGCTCTCTACGTGGGGTTGCCTTTGAAGACGGCTCGGAAGCTCCAGCTAGTCCAACGCTCGGCAGCCATGATACTAACAGGAGCGGAGTGCAGGGAGCATACAACTCCTCTGCTGCACCAGCTCCACTGGCTGCCGATTTGCTACCGGGCTCAATTCAAAGTGCTGGCGTTGGCCTATAAAGCCCTAAACGGTTCTGGCCCAAGTTACCTATCCGAACGTATCTCTGCCTATCAGCCCGCCAGGACCCTAAGATCTTCTGGGGAGGCCCTGCTCTCTATCCCGCCTGCTTCACAGGTGCGGCTGGCGGGGACGAGAGACAGGGCCTTTTCTGTGGTGGCCCCCCGGCTGTGGAACGCCCTTCCTATTTATTTATTTATTTATTTATTTGCTTTATTTCTATACCGCATATTTCAGCCCAGACAGGCGACTCTATGCGGTTTACATGGTACAAATTATTAACAGTGTCAGTGCAATTAAAACGCAACAAGTGCGACAAACAGGATCAACAACATCAATCCACAACAGTTAACAAAACAGAACAGGACAGTCAACACACACAACATAGCGCCTCAGTGAAATCAGATCCGTTCTCATAATCCTTGTGCCATTCCTATGTTCCATTTACCGTCTTCCTTGATTGATTGCACTGTTCAACCAAACGCCTGTTCATAAAGCCAGGTCTTAACCTTTTTCCGAAACGCCAGCAACGAAGGTGCCTGTCTGATGTCTGCCGGCAAGGCATTCCATAGCCGAGGGGCCACCACTGAGAAGGCCCTGTCTCTCGTCCCCGCCAAGCGCGCCTGTGACGCAGGCGGGACCGAGAGCAGGGCCTCCCCAGACGATCTTAATGTCCTAGTCGGTTCATAGGTGGAGATGCGTTCGGAGAGGTAAGTGGGGCCAGAACCGTTTAGGGCTTTATAGGCTAAAGCCAGCACCTTGAATTGTGCTCGGTAGCAAATTGGCAACCTATGGAGGTAAGATCAGCCCCCTCGCTAATGGTGTTCCGAAGATTAAAAACTTGGATGTTTGAACGGGCATTCGGTTAAACAGTGCAATGAATGTGATGATTACAGGAATGGAAATTTGGACGACGGATTGGATCACGACTCTAGTTATGAGATGCATTGTGTTGTCTATTGTTGTGTCAATATTGTATATTATGCTTTTATGGTTTTAAATTGTATATCGTTGATTGATTCTTATCCTTGTTGTAAACTGCGTTGAGTCGCCTGTTGGGCTGAGAAACTGCGGTATACAAGTAAAGTAAATAAATAAATAAACTATCTACTTCCAAAAAATGGCTCCCTTCCCAATTGCCCTGAGCAAGGGGCGGGACCAAAACTTAACGATGATGGACAGGTGACTTGCCCTATGACTACAACCAAAGGAAGCCACCTATCTGCAGAGTCCCTGAAACCTAGGACTGCAAACAAACATTTAATACAAAGCAAATAATGTTGGAGCAATCAACACACACACCTCCAACTTGGTTGCTTCGCTACATCGGCTATTGCTGCAAGTAATGACAGTGTGAATAAATTGTCAATATTTGCTTGAGATAGTGCTTGCAGTTCTGGAGGGACTCTTAATTTTTTGCATCTCATAGACTTAGCATGGGGATTTGGTTAACCAGTTAAATTCATGAGTAAACCAGTTTTTTTAAAAAATCTGAAACATTTCGGGGGGGGGGTTGAACCCCTACCCCCCCCCCCCCCCCCCGCTACAGGCCTGCCTGCTATTCCATAGCACTGAGCCATGTCAGTCAAAGTGGTATTCATTCTACCACTTTGCACCTCAAGTGTACAAAAGGTTTATTTTACAATTTCATTATCTCAGTTAACTTCAAAGGTTCTATAACATCCCTTTGCATATTCATACTCCACACAAACATGGCTGTTTTTGAACTTTGCAGGTAAAGTTTGGCATCTTACCAAGAGCAGAACTGGGGAAAAAGATGCAATAATTTGACTGTGACTAGCTTTTGTCATAAACACAAATTTTATATTGCATACTCTTCGTTTAACTTATTCTCAGTACTCACTGTTGTTTATTATACAGAACTGTCAAATCTTCTGCAGTAATAATGGATAATCAAAATTCAGGTTGATAATAAGAAAACAGATGTTAACATGTTGTTTTGTCCAAATATCAAACAAAAATTAAGTTAGTCACATTTTCCTCTCTAAAAATACTATGTCGTCTACATTCTCTTCAACACAAGTTACATCATTCAGATATTTATGTCTTCATGTACATCTAGTTGTGCATATTAAAACCACAAGAGCATTTTAATACGTATTAAAACTGAACATATACTAATCATATAAAAATGCTTGACAACTATGATTTAAAATCCAAACTAACCTCAGATTTGGTTAGATTTCCACCAAAAATGGTTCCTTTCATAATTTTATTTACATAGTATAGAACTGGAGAAAAGATTTTCTACAAAAATATTTGGCCAAGAATGCTCAATAAAATCAAGTAATAAACTCCAACAACTCAAATTCATATGCAGAACAACATCCCAACCTGATTTCAAGGGGCTTCCCCCATTCATTACAAAACTCCCAAATATTTTAATTTGTTGGAAAAAATATTTCAGCCCTCAGAAAAGTTTTGTTAAGTTTTTCAGCAGCTTTCCGCATTGTGCAATATATAGCTGGAGCTGGAGTAACAAAATGCAATACAAAATGAACGCACTACAGCTGTGGATTCCTGCACTAACAGCCAACTGGGATGCCTTCCAATTCTGGGATTCTACAGGATTCTATAAACTCACATGTTGAAATTATAAATCTCAGCTTTCCCATAAAAGCTCATGTCATCACCATGTGACAACTGCAGCCTCCTAACTTAATCTACCCCAAATTATTTTCCTAAATATAAGAAGGTGTTTCCAATATGTATGGCAAAGAGAGATGGTACTTTACTAACTTCTCCCCTTGTTCACATTTAATATTGTAAATCCAGATTCCTTGTTAAAAGCAACACCAGAGGCACTCCAAGTGGCCAGCTACTGGTCAAAGGTCATTTAATCAACTACCAAGCTTGCAAACTTTGTATTTTGTCTGTTTGTTTGTTTGTTAAAAATGCAATGCAACTGTTCGGTCTGCTTCTGACACAAATAAATACCTTCTCCCCCATTTTGGTTGGCTTGGGGCTTAGGAGAAAATATTCGGTAGATTTAAAGCACAAGAGTGTGGAAAAGGTAGTATTACAATCTCTGCAGTTGTAAAATTCAGACATACAGTATTTGTTTTCTCTTTTCCTTTCTTAAAGGTCTAAATGTATATTGCCCCATTCAATATAAAAAATATTAATTTTCTGCCCCTAAAATAAAGGCCATTTTGTAAAACATGGGATACTTGGAAATCTTATATAGGGCAAGTTCAAAGTGTGCCTTATAACAAACAGCCCTATTATTGTGCTTTGTTTAAATACATGAATCTAGAGAGAGAAATTATTGTAATTTCTTAATATTTTATATTGATTCTACATTGCACCATACAATGAAAAAGCACTAAAACACTCCTTTTCAGTGAACCACTGAAATGCTTGAGCCCAATCTAACTCAATGCAACTCATAAAAAGAACAAACATAGCTAAAAGCAACATATGGACCTTATGGATAGAGTACTTCATAACACACTAGAAAAGGTGAGGTTGCTCTGTGGGATGCTTAGCTCATCAGGGAGGGAAAATGTAATAAAAGAAGCTTACCGCAACTCAGGTTGTTTTCTGCTTTAAGTGCTGATGTTGGGATACTCCAAAAGTCAGTTTCCCAGTCTATAATATTGCCTTTCACATCACAGCTGAGGTTAGAGAGTACTTGGGAGTTCATTGTGAAATTCCAAAGGCGGAAATTATAAATATCTCCATTGAGAGGGTTTATATCCTTTCTATCAGAGCCCAAAACCAACTTTCCATTAGCAGGAATGACTTTTCCATAAGAATCTGAACAGAATATTGTTTTATATGTATGCTTGACATTCACACCAATAGTGCCAGAGTAACTATCCCATACAATGCAAAGCTGTTCAAATGTTTCAGTGAAGAAGTCTCCATCTGGATTGGTATCAAGCGCATCATTTAGCATACATTCTGTGTCTGAGATAAATATAAAGTGCCCCCCTTTTGTTTTTCCGAAGCTGAAGAATTCTGTAGAGGAAGAATCACAATAGGAGAAAGCCTTCCAATCATGGCTACTACCATTGTTTTCAGTTGCTTCAAAGCACAGTGTGAATTGGTTGAGTTCTGGAACTTGGATGGAATTAGCGAGAGACACAGTATCAGTATCCTGGAACTGTGGAATGATAACCTTTTGATTCCTCAAGGCCACAGCAACTGGAATATAAACAGGGTATAATTTAACTTTAATTAATGTGCCATTTTCTCACTTTAAAAGTATGTGGAAAATACGTCAGATTAAGTATATGCTAGGGTGGCAATGATATCTTATTTTATAAATAATCCATTGGGCTTTTCTCCCAGAGAACTTCAATAAGTCATTTATAAACCTGCATTGGTATTTCTAACTATCTGTAAAACAGTAGACTAGTTCTATGAAACAACATTTTCTTTTCTTACATATTATCTCCAAGGGTTTGTTGTGCTTATTAGTATTGAACTAGACTAGAGAAATTAATGGAGAACTTTTTCCAACTTTGCAGAGAGAACCTTTACTATATTGTTTAGCAAATGAAAGCCCTTTGCTTTCTAGCCTTTGAATTTTAATTGAATAAACCTGATCATATTTCCTCACAAAATAACCCTACATAGGAGCCAATAATTGTATTTACATAATGACTAGAAACCAATGCTGCACATTTGCTGGAACTCACTGCTATTACTTGAACCAGTGACATCTTTCAAGTTTGTTGCCCTCTGTGCATTCTGAAAACCTGCTCCAAAGAATTAAAAAACCACCTGGAGGGAATCAAGTTCTAGTTCCAAACAGAAAGAGGTAAACCACTGGGCTTTGGCCAATGACAATTTATTGAGTTCACTGAAGTTTTATTCTCTAGTTACTATAGTTAGTTACTGTTAATTAACTTTCAAACTTTTCATTCAGTATTATGGCTCACTATGTACCACCCCAGGACTCACTGTTGTTTTGTGATGGCACATCAAAATGGCCATAACATTCCTAGTAGAGAGCAGAGGGGATAGGAGATGCCTTTCACAATGTCTCCGTGGTCAGATACAGACTGAGAGCACCTATCTCTGCAATTTTCTGAGATTCTCCAGTCTCTGATGGATGATGTCATTTGGGACATAGTGCAAGGTGAACCAAGGTGTAGGTCAATACCTATCTCTGCAATGACTAAAAAGACATATATAGGTGTGAGTCACATATGTCAGTAACAGAATGCTAGCCTATGTGTTTGCAAAAACTGGAAGTCTCACACAGGCAATCAATCCACTCAGAAGACAGTACATCTGTCTTCTGAGTGCCTGTCTTTAAAAAAAATCACGTGGTTAGCTACATGATTTTTTTTAATGCAAGCACTATCTTATCCTGGCCCACTAAAAAGAATATGTACCTAGTGGGTCAGAACAGAATAGCAGGTGGAGTTTACTGAAGACAGGAGAGATTTGATGGGCCTTTCAAGCATTCTTTTGAACATCATAACCACTTATTTCCCATGGGGATTATCAAGGTTCAAATGGAGTGTAGGAAACTGATTTACTGCTTGGGCAGGTAGAATTCTGCTCATTCATCCTGTAATTCCATAAACTGTAAATCAGTGTTTTAATCTATTTATGGAGGGGATAGGAGAAAGCTGAGTCACTGCTTGACTACACTCCTTATAGTGATCAAATGACAGAGTAGAGATTTGAACCAAACCCCCAGTCTCTTACCTGCTTGGTTACTCCAGTTCCTTAAAGCAGATTAGCTCTACTAAAATGATAAGAGGACACCTATGTAACTGGTTTGAATTATTCAGCTTATAAGTATATCAAAACCTGGCTTCTCTTTTTGTCTGCACAGGCACATATCTTCAAGCCCCAACCCTGAAGAAACATTTCTGAAATGCATTCTGAAGGCATATTAAGAAAGGATACTTTTACATACACTTACCTCGGGTATAACTGGCATTGAAGCCTCTCTTCTGGATGCTAAAGTCACTGGTAAAAGATACAATCATTTCATTCCCAGATGAATTAAACGATAAACCTCTGGCAGTTATACCACACAATGTGACTTCTTTTTCTCCTGTGTGCAATTTTAGGAAATCATAAATGCAGTTGGGAGCTTCTTCAATCTCAAAATCAACAAAGGTAATTTGAATTATGAATCCAGAAGGAGCCCTGATGGTCCATTTGCATGCTTGACTGTTGGGATAATTATTAGGAAAACAGGGTGAGGTAAAAATTCCTGTGGGGTTGGAGAGTACCATGCGACAGTCAGAGCATCTGGAAGCTGTGGAATAAACAAACGAGAGAGAGAGAGAGACAGAGAGAGATGGTCAACAAAGCTAAGATAAATTTGAAAAAAAAAACCCAATGCATTGTCATGGTATTTTATTTATATGTCTAACACGACTAAGAGTATTTGGTCCATTCTCTATGGTTGCCAGACTGAATTTTGGACATGTTTAATACTGAATAGATCTTGGAACAGAACGAGGTACTCTAAAGCTCCATTAGAGTAACGGTGCTCCATGTAGTCATTCCGGCCACATGACCTTGGAGGTGTCTACGGACAATGCTGGCTCTTCGGCTTAGAAATGGAGATGACACGGCTGGACTTCATGTCAGGGGAAAACCTTTACCTTTACCCGAAAGCTCCATTAAACAGAAGGATAGCACTTGTACTCCTTCACTTTCCAAATTGCAACTTTCAAGTTCTCCCTACATGCTGAGCTGAGAACAAGAACAGAAGTGAGTGTGCCTACATGACCCTCTGCTCTCCACTGTGGAGGTAACAGCTATGTTGTATGGGGAAATCTGCAGCTGGGATTTGGAAAGCGGAAAGATACCTTCATCCTACTTGGCAAAACTTTGTGGTACTTTGGCCTATGTCATGAACTAGGCTTCCGCACCTAGGCAGATAGGTTTTGAGTCCTTGTTAGGTTTAGTGTTAGTAACTGTTAGCATTGAACTTGTATTAATTGACTTTTGGGGTTTTTTTTTTTGCATTTGCTTTGTAGTTTGACACTTGGAAAAGATATGAAGGCTGATAACAGACTGTGGGAGTGATTTTTAAAAATCTGTGGCTAACCTGCTTGGTACAGTTATCATAGCTTCCCTGAGGAAAAGTCTCATTAATTGAATAAAACAACTTCTGATAGACAGAAAGCCTACATTGTTAATCCTTTTTGTACTTCATACATTTCCAGAAAAAGTATGTTTGCTAAATACTTACTGGTATAATTTTTACCCATCTCCAGTTTAGGCTTTTGAAGATCCAAAAGAGAACTTTAAATTGGACCCAGGAACTGCTGGCAACCAACAAATGGTTCATGTGGTCTGTCTGCAGTGTTTTATTTTGAACCAATTATAATCTGTGAACTTTCTTCAGAGGTAGCCAAATGTATAGGGCACTGCAGTAATCTAACAGTGATGCTATTCTATGATACGTTTTATTGATTGGCTTATTGGCCGTATCAAAACATTTAACACATAACACAATTAACATATAGTCATACATAGTCATACATACAACATACAACCCTCGGTATAAAAGGAGTTAAAATAAACAAGCTGTTAACAAGATCTCGTTCAAGTCAAATGTCTGCGTCACCTCCACAGTTTACCCCAATTGATTCTAAATGTGCAATTCTCAGCTGTGTTGCTTTGAATAGAAAAAGGGCTGTTTTGTGTGTTATTTTAGGGTTCTGGCCGGCCAACAAAAATGAGGTTTTAATATATGGGTCCCAGTGTGTTTTTTGAATAATGTATGGTCCAAGGCAATGGTCTCTCTCTTTCTTATACAGCTCACAGTTGAACAATACATGTGTGATATCCTCCACCTCTGGTGCTCCACAAATACAAAATCGTTCATTGTATGGGACTTGATTAAACCTTCCGTGCTTGTCCATTGTATCCAGCTGTTCAAAACGAGCTCTGGTAAATACCCTCCTAAGGTGTTTAGGCATTTCTGTTTTTAGATATCGAGCTGTTTGGAAAGTATGTTTAAAGCGGCCTAACCATTTCAGTGAGCCAGCTTTACTGAGGGTAGCAATGTCTTTTTGGCCTTCTATATCCAATACTCGTTGAGCAACTATTTTTGGGTCTAACTCTTCTAAGAAATTCGGATACAGAGTCGGAAGTCCACAGCTCCTCATGTATTTTGTCAGGAGAACTAGCCAAGAGGACTGATGTTGATTTTCTATCTGCTCTAACAGGCACAGTTTGGGGAGTTTATCATTTCCCATGGCCATCAGTTTTGCCCAGTAGTTGTAGGCCCTGATTTTGGATAAGCCATCCACTGTGTGTACTCCCAGTATCATTGTTAGATTAGAATGTGCTATACAGCAAGATTAAATGTGTTATACAGCAAGATTAAATAGTTCTCAAAAGGGCACATCCCAAACACATGGACAAAACTGTTTAAGAATGAGTATTGCCTTTTTTTTTAAAAAAAAAGTCAGTTTCTTTGGAATTATCAATATTAATATTTCATACAAATATTCTGTTTCAAATGAGATCACCAGTGAAAAATAAAACTAAATCCAATGACTGTACATAAACCTAATTTTCTCTAAATTGATTCTTCTTTATTTGTTTAATATTACATGAGGCATTTACTTTTTAAAATTATTTTACATCTTAAACTATGACTTTAACTCATTAACAATTTTTCAAAACTTTTTTATAGCCATGAAGTAATATTTTATATCATTTGTCCGGAAAGGACCTATACTTGTGGGTACTAAATATATACAAAACAGAACTGCATTATGAATAAATGTGCACAAACAAATTCAGTACAATCATGCCCAAAAAGCCATATGGTTATAGACTTCAGAATCTGACTTTCAACTCTTTCCCCCCTCTTTCTTTTTCCATGACCACTGGTTAATATTTTCCAATGGATGGAAACCCTTAAATGTTAGAGTCCAGTTCTGTAAGTAATTATATGTATGTGTGTGTGTGCACACAATATTCTGTGAGATGGAATTATGTCTGGAATTATATATGAACATTAGGTTATTCTAGGTTCACATGTATAGTACACTGAAATATGTGGAAGAGTGACACATGAAAAAAAAGCAGGAGCTTAGAATAAATAGGTGGAGAGGCTGTCATTGCTGTTTCTCCCTGCCTTCATATACTCAACTCGCTACCAGTTGGAGGAAAGAGAGACCTGAACCTCATGGGTCCTGAAGAGGCCCGAGTGATCTGGGGGAGCCGAGGAGCCAAGGAGAAGGAACCAGGAAGGCGGAGGAAGACAAGGGAGCGCCGCCATTCCAACGCGGCCGGCTTCCTCCCTCCTTTAACAAGACCATAGCCCCCAAAACCTCACCTGGTGAGTGCCGGAGCTTCATTCGGGCTCTGTGGGGGATCGAGCCGCTGCCCGTGCTGCCGCTGGGGCCGCCTAGAAGGTGGTGCTGCGGCGTTCGCTGCCTCCGTGGGACCGCTCCGTTCCGACGCCATTGCGGCCTTGCTGTTTGGGCAGCTGCCGGAGCCCGGAGGTGGAACGCGGAGAGGGGAAGCAGAGCGCCGAGGCCGCCTCCATCTACGGCCTGGCGGGAGCGTTCCCTCTCAGCAGCCAAGCCTCTCGTCAGAGCCGCCGCCCGTACAGCCGCTGGGGCTGCCTAGGAGGTGGGGCTGCCGCTTCTGCCGCCTCCGCAAGACCGCGCCGCCGCCATTTGCGGCCTTGTTACTGGGGCAGCTGCCGGAGCCCAGAGGTGGAACGTGGAGAGGAGAGGCAGAGCGCCGAGGCCGCCTCCATCTGCGGCCTTGCAGGAGCGTTCCCTCTCAGCAGCCAAGCCACTCGTCGGGGCCGCTGCCCGTGCTGCCGCTGGGGCCGCATGGGAGGTGGGGCTGCCGCTTCCGCCGCCTCCGCGGGACTGCGCCGCCGCCATTGCGGCCTTTTTTTTGGGGCGGCTGCCGGAGCCCAGAGGTGGAACGCGGGGAGGAGAGGTAGAGCGCCGAGGCCGCCTCCATCTACGGCCTTACTGGAGCGTTCCCTCTTAGCAGCCAAGTCACCCGTGGGCCTTTGCCGCTCTAATCATCTGGGCCTTCTCTGGGCGGTCCGCGAGCGCTGTTCTAGTTGGGGCCTTTACCACCTGGACCTCACCAAGCAGACCGCTGCGCCGCGAGCGCCGCTCCAACTGGGCCCTTCCATCTGGGCTTCTACCATCTGTACTAGACGCCTTAGCCACCAGGCCCAATGCCGCTGCTCTTTACCATCTGGGCCTTTACCATCTGCGAGGGCTGTTTGCGGGCCCTGGCCACCTGGGCCCTTACCAGCCTTTACCATCTTTTACCACCTGGGCCTCTACCATCTGGGCAAGCCGCGTGTAGACCTTTTTGTGCCGACCTTCTGTGTTGACCGATATTGCAGTTTTTTGTGCTGACCTTTCTGTGTTGACCGATATTGTAGACCATCTTGTGCTGACCACCGCCATGTCGACCATCTCCGGAAGACTGAGAGACTCATTCGCTGTTACATCAGCCGTCCATAGATTACATCTTGAATCATAATAACTTTACCAACTGAGATTACTGCCAACTCATTAATACGGTGTTTACATATTGCTTAATATAGCACTTTAGTGTTCCGATCTACCTGCTGCTAATTGGTACTAAGAACTCAATAGAGCACTTTAAGGCGCCTGCCTCCTTTGCTGCTAAATCGAACTAGCACTTACGCTCCCTCTCCCTATCCCTCCATGCTGCACTTTAGATAGCGCTCAGAGCTAGACGTGGGTATTTGTAGCACTTTAAGATCCTGCACTTTACGAATTGTCCTAGTGACACATAGCTGTGACGTCCTCTGTATTTGCACTCCAAGACCCTTGCACTTTATGAACTACCTAACTATCGCAGCTGAGACGTTTACTACACTTTACTACGATCAATCTTACTGAAGTGTACTATCTCTACCCATGTGGTTCCCCATTCCCCTGTTTGTATTGTCCCTGATATTAGTGACTAGTGGAAGGGGCAAGGGACGAAGTGGGCTGGAGTCCGTGGGTAACAATGAGGTGGGGAGGGGGGAGAAAGGGAATCAAGGGATGTGGCAAGAAAAAACGCCAACAAACCAAACAACTACCAACGAAACAGAAATTAAGACCTTGGACCTGGACTGCGGCATGGAGGAGGGGAGGTGTTCCACTAGCCGAGGGGCCCCCATAGAGGTCGTGGTGGGGAGGGGGAGATGCGGGAAAAGGAGACCTCAAATTCGGCCTAATTCGGAACGCTTACCTACATTAATAATTCCAAACCGGTCTCCTATGGTAAATTGGTGTA